AAAATCGCTATAAAGCTAGCTAATCGCTTATTGAATTACGATGGGTACCACCGGGTACCCATCGTAATTCAATGCGTTTGCGCTTTTACTGGTTTAAAGATAATTAGCTATTAAGTAAACAATTTTCAAAGACTAAAATTATAAAAGTTAAAATGGGTTCGTTAGGAAATGTTAAATGTTGATATAAAACTAAAAAAAATCTTGGAGTACCAATACAATTACTTTCACCCATTGTGTACAAATACACAATGGGTGAAAGTCTGGACTCCGAGTAAAAACAGGTACTCCTGGGCTCCTGACTCCGACTTCGCATACCTGGTTTAAAACAATACAAATAGATAAATAATATAAATTTGTTGGTAATAGGTATTATTTAATTTTAGTTTTAAATGGATGAATATAAAATTTTTTTAATGAATAATACTTGAAAACAGTTTTGAAAAAAATTTTGGAACATTGAAGTTGCTTTCTGAAAACCAAGTTAGATAGTTATGTTTGCTTTCAGTAAAATAAAAATCAAAATATTTTAAAGACCAGTCCATATCTAGTTTTAACTTGAACTGTTAAACAAGAAAAATGTGTCTGGATAATCAATGTCACTGGGTAATTCGCTCTTGCATTTATGTCAAAAACAAAAGTTTTATTTACCCAAAAAACGAGCAGTTCTACATAAATAAATAAAAAATATGTTTAAATTTTTTTTCAAAAGTTAAAATCTTTGGTCTTTAACCAAACCTAATTTTTACTTTTCTAAACCCTTTGGTTATGCCGTAGATTATGACGTAGATTACGGCGTAGATAACGACGTAGATTACGACGTAGATTACGACGTAGATTACGACGTAGATTACGACGTAGATTACGACGTAGATTACGACGTAGATTACGACGTAGATTACGACGTAGATTACGACGTAGATTACGACGTAGATTACGACGTAGATTACGACGTAGATTACGACGTAGATTACAACGTAGATTACGACGTAGATTACAACGTAGATTACAACGTAGATTACGACGATTTTGATAATTTTTGCACTTTCATATTTACATCAAATTGAAATTTTGATTGAATTTTAAACTGTTATTTTGATCAACTTGAATAACTGTCCTTTATAAAATTAAATGTCTGTTCTCGTATGTATTTGTTATATTTTTTAACTTGAAAGAATAAAATTTGCATATATATCTTAATGCAGCAAAGCCTAATCCAAGAAAAAAGTGTACAAGGTCTATGTCCATTGCTAGAGTAAAAACAACACATTTAGAAAAAATGTGACTTATAAGTTCTCAAGAGTTTCTTTTACAAACTGAACAGTTGTCAAAATTATCATTAGATTCTTTTGACGTCATCAGTCATCAGATCCTTTTGACGTCATCATTCATCAGATTCTTTAAAGCTGAGTCATTAAAAATATAAAAACAAACTTAATAAAACTAAAATTTATTTGTTGCTTTTGCATATTTAATACAATGGTACAGACCTTTAGTAACTTACTTCCTCTATCTATGCTTTCTTTGATAGTCTCTGGTATGCATCTAGTGAAATGTTGGGTTAGCCAACAATGTTATCATGCTATCTAAAATGTCATTGCAAATGATATTATGAGTGCTAAGTGTTTTCACATTATTGGTTGCCATTCTATATACAATAGGTTTGATAATTTATAAAGAAAAAAGTATCCGCTTTGCAATTTCATATTAAAGGAAAAATTTTTTTGCAATTTCAAAACAGCCTTCACAATTATTCTAATGAAGAACATTTATTTTCTACAATTTGTGCTACATTTAGAAATATTTTTGTTAAGATTGGAAAAAGGAAGACACAAATGCTGACATTTTTTTACAGCAGATTTTTTTTTCAAGTTATAAGTAAGTATGGGCAATTAAAAACAATGATTAAAAGAAATAATAAAAAAACTTTTCAACCAATTTCCAAACTTTATAATTTTGTAAAAATTTTAAAACTTTCTTGGACGCTGCTATATTTCAAACATTGCGAAAAACAGGTCTAAATAAAAAATCTAAAATCCAGAAGAAAAATATTTTGAGCAACATTTTTATCAAAGTTCTTCGTTTATTTAAAAATCCAATGTAGTATGTATTAGTTGTAGATAAATACAATATCATGATAAACATGATCATATCATCTAGTGTATTATTACCCAATACACTGACTCCTTGTTTCTGTAACGCATTAGCGGTTAATTATACAGAGGTTCCCACCTCATTTTAACATTGCATCACCTAATTTAGACATTTTATTATTTAATTTTGACATTTTATCAGTAGATTTCGACACTGCTGAATTTAATCTCCTTACATTTGCATCACGTTTCGACAATTTAAAATACTTTATCTTGAATAAAAATTATAACCAAAATTTTAGACTTTTGTGGAATAACTCGTGATGAAATTAAACTCAGGCATTTAAATTCATTTCAGTCAGTTGCTATACTATTGCAAGATGCATTGAAAGTCTTAACTATACTTTACGGTCAATAAGTATTTACGTCTGTTGTGCAATGAACTAAAATGGAATTTTGAAGTATGAATCACAAACAAGAGCATTTAATACAGGAAGTTATTTATATTCTATTTGTCTATTATTAGCACAACTAGGTGTTAATTAAACGCTATTTAATCTTATACAGTTTTCCTTTCCATAAAACTGCTGTTGTTCAAGAGTACGCTCTGAACATAATTTTACCTCCTTATTCTCCCTTTCTAATCTTATTGAAAATATGATTTTTCCATACAGAAATTTTATTGAAAATATGATTTCTGAATGGAAACATCAGAAGATGTCTAAAACTGAACTACTAAAAAACATTCAAAATGGTGAATTAAAAATTACTTGCACAAATTACTATAATTATTTTGGACACATGATTAAGTTTATGATTCCGTGTTCATAAAGAGAATTAACTATTGATGAATAAACTTTTGTTTTGTTATTTTTTAATGAGTAAATATATTTCGAATAAATAGATTTAATCTTAATTATAAATAAGTTATTTTTCAAACAGTTTTTAAATTATTGATCTTAAAACAGATGAAATTTATATATGTAGATGGTTGCTAAATACAGGTGCCCAGAATGTAATATATATTTAACGTATTTTAATTAACGTATTTTAATTTATTTTTAATTATCGGTTTTTAATGAGTTCAAAAATTTGCGGAAAAAGTATTCATTTTTTAAAAAGTACGAAGTTTTTCCACTCTAGTTGATCAAAACTTATAGAGAGAAAAATCACATTTGTATTTTTTAGAATATACTTTACTATTGAGGACGGCTTTAAATCTAAAAGGTACAGAGTCAATTTACTCAAACATCAATGGGAATGGAGCCCATACTTAACTTTATTAAATAATATGTTTTGAAAGCTTGATTCCTTTCATTTGTTGTCCAACATTTGCCTATAAATGCTCAATGGGATTTAAGTCAGGTGATTAAGATGGTCACTTCAAAATACAAACTTTACCCTTCTTGAAGAGTTTTTAAACCAATTTGGCTGTGTATTTGCGATCGTTATACTTCTGTTATATCTATTTATGAAGCACTTCATTATTTGGATGAGGTAACATTTTTTGTTTATATATATCTTTGTATTTTATGTCTCATTTGTATATATAAATCGACGTCAAATATTTTTTGTGTTGTGTAACGAACATTTTATCCTGACGTTGTGTTGTTTTTCGTGGTTTTCCTGATTGCTTGTAGAATCAGTAATTTCATATCACTTCTTATTTCCCTAACAGCAGACTTAGTTCTCCATAAACTCCATAAACAGTGCTGTCGTACAAAACGAATTTTCATTTTGAAGTGATCTGACGATCAACTTTTTCACTGGAGATGAGATACATTTCCTTGACCTCAATTACTAATATATAAAGCTTTTTAATATTTTGCAAAATATTAATAAGTTAACAATTTTTTGGGGAAAATGTAACAATTTTAGTTTGTCCGCAAATTATATATATATATATATATATATATATATATATATATATATATATATATATATATATATATATATATATATATATATATATATATATATATATATTTATATATATATATATATATATATATATATATATATATATATATATATATATATATATATATATATATATATATATATATATATATATATACATATATATATATATATATATATATATATATATATATATATATATATATATATACAAATATATATATATGTATGCATTTATATATATATGTTTATCTATATATATATGTTTATATCTAAATAATATATATGTTTTATATCTAAATAATTTATATATATATATATATATATATATATATATATATATATATATATATATATATATTCATATATATGTTTTATATATAAATAATAAATGGTTAGAATTCAATAAATAATACGGCTGCGTATAAACATTTTTTAAATATATATTTATTTTTTCTTTGATATATAATTATTTCGATCTATAGTGATTAGCGTCATCAGTTATAATTATACCTGATGACGCTGATCACAATAGATCAGCGAAATATCGAAATAATTATATATTAAAGAAAAAATATATATATATTTAAAAAAAGTTTATACGCAGCTGTATATTTATTGAATTCTAACCATATTTTAACGTATAACAAGAAAATGACATTCAAAGAATATATATATATATATATATATATATATATATATATATATATATATATATATATATATATATATATATATTATATATATATATATATATATGTATGTATTGAAATAACATTTTTACATTTTAAAAATGGATTTTCTACAATCAATGCTTGTGAATATTTTCATGTTTGAAAAACTTTGATTGTAAAAAATACTTTTGAACAAGAAATCTCAAGTGTTTGACTGCAATTTGTTTAAGTTTATTATTGGTTTGGGCCAAAATGAATTATGTTTAAATTGACTTGGGAGGGGGTGGGTTAGTGTTTTCCAAAACAAGGTACTCACAGTAGAAGTCCAAGTGTTTCAAATTAATTCCAACACCAAAGCTTTCAAATTTTCTAATCTCTTTGAATATTATAAAACTATACCAAGTAAACTTTGGAAAGATTGATGTTTTTTTTTTTTTTGTTGAAATTAATTTTTAAAAAATCAACTTTTCATTTAAATGAATAATTGAATTTTTCTCTGTTGTATAAAACCTGACGTCAAATTGTCACGTGTTTTTGCTATGCAAATTAAAAACAAAATAAAAACCTATACTATAACTTTAAAGAAACATTGACAAACAGAGGTGGATCCAGGATTTTTAATTAGAAGGCGTAAACGACACTCTGGGAAGCAAGAAAAAACCCGTATGCATAGACTCAAAGTAAATTCAAATTTATTGGATTGTCAGAAAGTTTGAAAAAGCCAAAGCGTTTTATTGCGGCTTTTAAAATTCACTTAACAGAGCACAGTAGGATAAGAATAAAAATAATTATATATTTAAAAAAAAGCACAACGGGAAAAGTCCTAAAAAAAGACTTTCTATTGACAATTTTTATGTATAACAAAACAGATTTGCATCCATAACATCTTTATTTAAAATTTTGCAAACAAGTTGCTAATTGTATTATTATAAGTTTCCGGCATTAAATTTTGTCGAATCGTGTTTGTTTTGTGAATATCATTCAAAATAATACAAAAAATACCGCTATTAGAATGCTACTAAGAATTTAAGAAGTTACAAAATTAAATATTGAAGAATATTAGGCTTTTTTAATTCTTACCAAAATCGATGTTTTTTGTTTTTTTTATGTATTGTAGACCCCAATAAACTAATAAAAGACCAACATTTGAAATCAATTTTTTATACTAAAAATAAAAGAAAAACATGTACAGTTACAACCAAAAGATAATAGGTAGACGAGACAAAATGTCTCTTTGGATAACAAGTTATCATATAGTAGTTGCGACATAAAAAAATAAGTTTTTAATGTAATTTTTATTCTAGATATTTAAAATAAACATGGCGTTCTTAAATAACAAAATAACTATTAAGAGCCAGTTGTTTTACAACTGTTATTCAAAAGGCTCACTGTTTTCCACGCACTTCACAACTTATATATAAATATATATCATTGCAGGCGCCAACGTTTATATATATATATATATATATATATATATATATATATATATATATATATATATATATATATATATATATATATATATATATATATATATATATATATATATATATATATATATATATATATAAACGTTGTTATATATTTGATATATATATATATATATATATATATATATATATATATATATATATATATATATATATATATATATATATATCAATGATATATGCATGTACTACAGAGGCGAAAACACGAAGGGGGTCGGAGGGACATATATATATATATATATATATATATATATATATATATATATATATATATATATACATATATATATATATATATACATATATATATATATATATATATATACATATATATACATATATATATATATATGTATATATATATATATATATATATATATATATATATATATATACATATATATATATATATATATATATATATATATATATATATATATATATATATATATATATATGTATATATATATATATATATATATATATATATATATATATATATATGTATATATTTATACATATATATATATATATGTATATATATATATATATATATATATATATATATATATATATATATATATATATGTATATATATATATATATATATATATATATATATATATTTATATATATATATATATATATATATATATATATATATATATATATATATGTATATATATATATATATATATATATATATATATATATATATATATATATATATCGATATACAAAAACTGTTAATTGATGAAAAAGTTGTTTATGATAAAGAAACCATAGCTGACAAGCTAAACAGTTTTTTTCTTGAGATCGGTCCAAATCTGGCGGCTAAAATTCCATCTAGTACCATAAAATTTGAAACTTACCTCAAAACAGCAGATAATGTTATGACAGAACTAAATTTAAATATAAGTGAGTTGCATAATGCTTTTTCTTCTCTGAAAAATAACAAAAGTGCAGGCATAGATAAAATTAGCGTCAATGTAGTTAAATCAGTCTTTGATATTATTGAACCCTTATTATTTCACATTTTTAATCTTTCATTAACGTCTGGTATTGTACCAGACAAACTTAAGCCAAAATCACACCGATTTTGAAGTCAGGTGAAAAAAAAAATGTTTCAAACTACAGACCTATTTCTGTATTACCTTGTTTCTCTAAATTGCTTGAACACATTATGTACAATAGGCTTTATAATCATTTAGTATCAAATAATATTCTGTACAACAAACAGTTTGGGTTTAAAAAAAATTATTCCACGGATCACGCGGTAATTGAGCTTGTAAACCATACATCGAATGCTTTTGATAAAGATTATTTTACCTTAGGGGTTTTCATTGATTTATCTAAAGCATTTGACACTGTCAATCATGAAATCCTTATAAAAAAATTAGAACTTTATGGAGTAAACAACTTAAACTTACTTTGGTTTAAAAACTACTTGACAAACAGAAAACAATGCATAACCTATGAACAAATGAAACCAACAAAAAAACTTATTAGTTGCGGGGTTCCTCAAGGATCTATCTAAGGACCATTATTGTTTTTAGTGTATATAAATGACTTATTTTTAGCATCTAAAAAATTATATCTTATATTGTTTGCTGACGATTCCAATCTGTTTTATTCACACAGAGATATAAAAGTTCTTTTTAAAATTTTTAATGAAGAAATATCTAAAGTAAATGAATGGTTTATAAGTAACCGCCTTTCACTAAATGTATATCAAACTAAATTCATCCTGTTCCACAAACCAATAAAGTTGATAATATTCCACTTAAACTGACAAATCTTTTATTCAATAAAACAAATGTAATCAATTGAAAGTAAAATTTCTTATAATATTTCCGTACTTTATAAAACAAAACCATTTTTAAACTCAAAACCTTAAATGAAAATTTACTTTTCATTTATTCACAGCTACCTTTCTTACTGCAACATTGCATAGGGAAGTACGAATTACGGAAAACTCAAAAAACTTTATAGTAAACAAAAGCATGCTTGTAGGATTCTATTTGGGGCAAACAGAACTGTTAATTGCGAACCGCTATTAAATCGTCTCAAGGCCTTAAACATTTATAAAATAAACATTTACCAAACATTACTTTTCATGTTTAAAATCTCCACTTATATTTCAATCTTATTTTAGCGAAATATCTCATAAGTATCCAACAAAGTTTTCAGAGGATAACTTTATTGTTCCGAGAATTAATTTAGAAATAAGTTCTTATCGAATTCAATATCGAGGACCTTTTTTATTGAAAAATTTTATTAAAAACTTTAATAAAGAACACTACTCTTTAAAAAAATTTAAAACAGTTTCTAAAAGAATCCTACTTCAATTAGATTTTAATTCAATAGACTTTAAATATTTTGATTCAATAGACTTTAAATATCTTCTTGTTCCGGCCAATTTTTATAAATGTAATATGTGTAATTATATGAAACGGCACAAATATATATATATATATATATATATATATATATATATATATATATATATATATATATATATATATATATATATATATATATATATATATATATATATATATATATATATATATATATATATATATATATACATATATATATATATATATATATATATATATATATATATATTATATATATATATATATAGATATATATATATATATATATATATATATGTATATATATACATATATATATATATATATATATATATATATGTATATATATATATATATATATATATATATATATATATATATATATATATATATATATATATATATATATATATATATATATATATATATATATATATATATATATATGATCAGGATTATTTTGATATGTTGTAGCAATAACTGAAACATTTTTCACATGAATAAAAAGTCAACTTACTTATTTTTACTTACATATATTTATTGATTATAGTCTTTTAGGTACATTTAATGATTTTAGAAGCAAATAAATAAGCTAGCAATATAATAAATAAATTTTGTATTATAAAATAACTTCAGAAGACAAAATAATTATTTAAATCGAATTTACTCAATTAACTTAACAAAGTATTAAATTTAAGCGATTCTCTCAAACTTCGAGAATTTTAATAAATTAAATAGTTTCGCTGTTTATTTAAATACATTAATTTGTTTAAACATGTACCGATATAAGGACCGGCGTATATTCGTTAAAATTTGGATTACGAAGCTTACTGAAAGGCAAAGTTAACTTTGTCTTCGACTTCAATGCCGAAGTTAAAATAGAAATTCGGCTTTCAGTTAAATTCGGAAACAATTTCAAAATTTCATTTTATTTTCAGTTAAATTCAAAAGCTATTAACTTTTTTTCAGTTTATAAAGAAGAAGAAATATAAAATATAATAATGTTTTATGTATATCAACCTGTTTCTGCACGCAGTGGCTTTGTTTGTCAAGGTTGAAAAGTGTTTCGGAGTTAAAGAGTTGAGAGAAGGTTGTAACCAATATAAAAAGTAGCTTCTCGACTAAAGTGGCCCACTCGGCTATTGGAATATGAATTCAGTAAAAAAAGAAAAAACGTGTTAGAAATAAATTTGATTCAATACTCGAAAAAAAACTTCAAAAAATCCTAAAGATAAAAAACAGATGAATATTTAACCTACGGTCTTCTTCGTTTGTATAATTGACATTTGAAATTTCTTTTGTTCATGTTCGTTTAAAAACATTAAGAGTTATAAAGATTCCATAAATTAAGTTTTAATTATTACTGAACTTTAAAACTTTTTATTTCGGCGCACACTGTTTTTTGTATGCGTATAATTTTTTTAATGAACTAAAAATTACTTTGCTTCACATGTTTTTCGATATGTTTTGAATTATGGTTAATTACAATCTAAACAATAATAATTTTAGTTTCTAAAAAATGATTATATATAACCGCGTCGCAGTGGTTAGAG